TTTCTGTCCTATAATATTAGTTAGAGTACGGGGTCTTTCCTATATCTTGCTACAGTGGATTTCTGACTCTCTGACTTGAGCAAATCATGCCTGCATCTGGCTCACCAGAGTAACGTAAGGATTACAGTGCGTTTGGATGCCACGACAATTACGGATTGAGACAGGAATTATTGATCCAGAAACAGATATAGTGCTAATTGTATATTCAGACTCTTAGCCTCAGAAGCAGCAAAGGCTGGGAAGCGGTGAATGTCTCTTTATAATTAGACATGGATCAGGATTTCCTAAAGTCTGAGTAATTCCATGAAACAACGGATACAGAGTCCCAAATCCCATGAAACCACATGTAAAATGCTGCAATAATGCCCTCTCTTATAGAGATATATGAGAACCAAACAATAAATTTCACCAGAAAAGTTTTGATTGTTTTGTTTTAAAGATTTTTTCTCTATCTAATTTTTTCTTTTTTGAGAAAGAGTCCTCTATTCTGGTTGCCTGGGTCCTACAAGAGAGCGCATGGCATCAGCTAGCTCACAGCAACCGATCGTAGACTTACATGGGCTAACGATTCCTTATTCATAGCCATTCAGCCTCCAGAGATAAGTGAAGGATACATGGCTATGCACCACCATATAAGGCACAGTTGGTCTAATGTTATTCTATTTTTTAGTAGAGATGGGGTCTCGCTCATTTGTCAGGCTGGTCTCGAACTCTCTCAAGTATTCTTAACGATCCACCCGCCTCGGCCCTCCTAATAATCGACTAGGATTACATGATGTGACACCAAGCCTGGCTCCAAAAAGGTTTTTATGATAGCGGGCTGCAAAATGGAATTCAGAAATTTTATTTGTACCTGTCCAAGTGCATGTAGTTGTTTTCAACCTATAACACAGGTATGGGTTTTTAGTAGTTACCATGGGGAACAGATTCCTTTAGAGTTTGTCCTTCTCCAAAGTCGTGATCTGAGCGTTTCACTTAGATTTATAGGCCATATAAAATAGAGTAATATTTTTTTCAAATAGGAAATTATATATATTTGCAAACAGCCTACACATGTGGTATGTGAACATTAATGGTTTAAGGTACTGTTTTTCAACTTTTAGATGCTTCCCTTCATTAAATATCTCCTTTGCTATTTAATGTAGGTACCGCTTTTTGTACTATTATAAATGTCTTTGTTCAATTGATGAGTATCTCTATAGTAGAGATAATACTTATAACTATCTAGTTGCTTATTCCTTTACTTCCTACCTCCGACTATATAATTATTCTGCATATGCTCGCGATGGACATATTTGATATATCACAGTTTTCATTATCAAGATATACAATATAAAGTCATCTGTGTCGATTAAACCGATTATCATGGTGAATCCATCATAGAGGTGTGAAACAACGAGATATGTTGTAGTGGTTTTGCATACTATAACTATTCAGTAGCTTAGGCATTAGATGATTGAATGTATGCTGTGTTAGTTGTATATTTAAGTTATATATGTTTTAAAGTATTGTTCTAGTATGAATCGTAGTTATTTTTTAGAGATAGACATTCTAATATATTCTTAAAAATATTCCTGCCCAAATGATATTTAATGTTCTCGTCTCACAATCACAGCAGGATATCTTCTACAAGGCATTTATTCTCAATTTGAAGATCCTTTACAACAGCTAGGATCTGGATGTTTTTCTTAGGACTTCTATCCCACTATGTTTCATATTCTTCCTCTCACACTTGTACCAAATTCCCTACTCTTCAAACAATTGATATATCCAACCTTGGATTATATCTATCATAGATGAATTTCCATACAGCATTCAAAAAATCTTTCAGCCAATCATTTCACACGTATCACAATCCCTAAGTGTCTAATGGGATCCACACTTCCCGGGACCTCCACTCCTTCACACTCTCACAGGCTATATGATGCTCATGTCTCCCCACCATTTCTATTACGGAATCTAGCAAAGGGTGAGGCGCCACCTCCTGCTACGCACATGAAACTCATGTCATTTACTCCTCTTTTTGGAAACTTTGTACTAACCAACCTCCTGACACCACCAGACCTCATCGCACATAATAGACACACCTGGGATTTATACTCTAATACAAAAAACATGTAATTATGTCTCATTCTCCAGTATGTCTATGGCATTGCTGCCATAGAGATGCACTCAATAACAATATAAAATAACGTGACTGTATAAGGAAGGACTGTAAGAAATTTGCATAACACCCAAGTGTGGCATCTGAGGAAGTGTGTGAACAGTCACATGGATGTCATGATCATTGACTGGCCTGTGAAAAAACTAGTTAGTGTAGCCAGCCACCATCATTTTCATATGAAGTAACGAGGAAAGTTTAGAGGACTAACAGACATTAGCCTAAGGTTGGTATTTTAGCAAGGGATCAACCTCAAGTATTGGCAACCCATCAGAGACTGATGTTCTAGTCATCAATGTCATATGGGTTAGCACCAACTCAGCCATTTCTGGAGGCTGCATCTTCAACAGCCCACTGTTAGAGTAGTGAACCAGGATTCCAGATTTCTCTGAAATTCACCTAAAGTACGTCCACTTCTAGATATACAGCATTATGACACTGCCCCTTCTGATGTACAACATCAGCTTGCTCCAGTGCACTGCTCATATTCTCCCTTTACTCTTCTTGTTTCTCTACGGTTTGGCATTATGCTATTAAAATATCTATTATTACTACTATCGATTATATTCTTTTCCTTTCTATAATATTTAGTGCCTTATAATTTCTATCTTAATTACTCAGTTTAGATCCCATAGATCATTCATTCTAATCTTTCTATTTGACATACTTTAAAATTTTCTACAAATATCCTCCAACCTACAGAGCTCCACTCCATAGGAAAAGGACCTGGCACATTACAAAAAGTAAACGAATGCAAAGTCAATCTGCTGTCTATGGAAAGTGAGTTAAAAAGGCACTGGGGGAAAACCACAGAGAGCTGCATAGAGCACTATACATTACATGACCACTATTTCCAAATGATCCTTTCGGCTAACGAGCAAACCATTGATTACAACTAACGGCAGCTTGTTCTCTCATGATCCAAAATTACTAATTAATATTTTAAGCTGGCAGGCGTGTGGCTCACACCTGTAATCTTAGCACTCTGGGAGGCCGAGGCGGGCGGATTGCTCGAGGTCAGGAGTTTGAAACCAGCCTGAGCAAAGCGAGACCCCGTCTCTACTATAAATAGAAAAGATTAATTGCCAACTAATATATATAGAAAAATCAGCCGGCATGGTGGCGCATGCTGTAGTCCCAGCTACTCGGGAGGCTGAGCAGGAGG